ATTTATGAGCCCTTCTAATGCGATCCCTAACGAAGCATGAAGTCGTTTGGCCCCCTTTTTCTTCTCCTTCAGCATCCGACGCAGCCCATGTCCCTCCTGACGCAACTCCTTGTTCTCTTGGCGCAGCTCAAAATACTCCCGACGCAACTCCTCGTACCTCCGACGCCGCCGCTCCCGTTTGACCGCCTCCTCTGCCGACTCAGAAACAGCGCGGGCAGTGAAGATTGCTGAAGAGATTGTCGTCGACTCGCCGGGTGAAAAACAGGTAGAATTCTCCGTTGACGATGCGCCCGAGGAAATGCCAGAAGAGCTCGACGAATCGCTAGAAGAATTGTCCATGACTGACTAAAAAATAAAGGAAGAATTAATTTAGAAATAAAAACGGGGAAAAAGAGAAAAAGGTACCTTTGTGATGATGAGCAAAGTTAAAATTTAAAAATTTTAAGCTGTTTTTATAGTATTTTTGTGGATTCTGTTTCTGTCTGTCTGAAGACCTAAGTCTGAATCTGAAGACTAGTCTGAAGACATAAGTTAACTCTGAAGACCTCCACCATGAAGACCTACAAATTTTGAAAGGGATTATCGAGGGATTAAGGGTTCTAGTACTTATTCTACAACTTGTAGTGCTTATCTATGGAGATAAGTGCCCAGTTCTGTATTTTTGAACCTATAATGCGGTTTATGAGAGGGATTTCTTGTTCGCCAAAATTCACCGGATTACTTCACCAGACTAATTCCACCGAACTCGACGAAGTTCACAAAGTGTGAAATTAGACAAACGTGAACAAAGTGTCATTGAAATTTATTTTTTTTATGTTTTTCTTTTTTTTATCCTTTATAAAAAATTAGAAAATTTTTTTTAGTTTTGTTTTGTTATCCCCCTCTCAATGTCACAATCCCCTTTGGGGATTTTAACGGCAAACAAAATTTATATATGTTTTTGAAGATATTGAGTAAGTTTATTTCTTGTTCTTCTCCCTTCTCTTTCCTTCCGGAAAATGAAAAAAGGGAAATGTTTGGCTGCTTCATTTGGCTCTTTTTTTCGAGAGAAGCAAAAATAATATTGATAATATTTTTTTCTAAAAAATGCCAAAAATAAATTTAAAGTCAAAGCAACTCTTCTACATTAACTTGGAAAGTAACTTCACCTCTTCAAATCCCTCTTTTCTTCCTTAAATAACTCCTAATCCCCCAAACATTCTTTAAGCTATCCCAAGTTTGTTATTGAGGGGGATTTGGCAATTCTCTCTCCTTTTGGTTTTTTTGGTGTAGCGCGAGTGTGTTTGGTTTTGGGGTGGAAAGGTCGTGGGTTCGAACCCCGACGTGGAAAATTATTTTTAATTGTGTCGAGAATATTTTTAAAAATTCAGAAAATATTTTTAAAAATTCAGGAATTATTTTTAAAATATACTTTTTTGGTGTAGTGCACGTGTGTTAGGTTTTGGGGTGGAAAGGTTGCAGGTTCGAACCCCGACGTGGGAACTTATTTTTAATTGGGTCGAGAATATTTTAAAAAATTCAGAAATTAATTTTTAAAGTTTTTTTTCTCAATAAGAAATATTTTAAAATTTTAGAATTAATTTAATTTTAATTTTAAAAATCAACTCTTCAAGTCATGGTAGAAGGAGGAATAACACTTGTTAAATACCTACTCTTCTTTGCAAATTTCATACTATGGGTAAGGTTTAAAAAAAATTTTTTTTTTGAAAATCTTAATTTCAAACATTGAATTTTTCGCCAAGATTAAAAAAAAACTCGGGGTAGAAAAACACTGCACCTTTTGGTGTAGTGCAAGTGTGTTTGATTTTAGGGTGGAAAGGTTGCAGGTTCGAATCCCACTCGTGGAAAATCGTTTTTAATTGCGTGGGGAATATTTTTAAAAATTGGGAAATTATTTTAAAAACCCAGAAATTAATTTAAAATTTTTAAATTTTTTTTTAATTTTTTAGAAATTTTTTTAATTAAAAATTTTTTCCAGGTTGTAGGCATTTGTTTTCTCATCTCAGGAATTTTACTACAAATGAAATATTCCGGTTTATTAGACGTTCTAGGTGATGAACGTTTAACTACTCCAGTTATTTTATTAGCTATTGGATGTCTTTTTACTTTATTAGGATTTATTGGTTATTGTGGGGCTATTAGAGAGAATTATTGTTTAACTGTTAGTTTTGCTGTTTTATTAGCTTTACTTTTAATGACTGAAACGGCTATAGCAATTCTTGTTTATGCTTTACATGAACCTTTAAATGAAGTTATTGTTACTCAATTGGCACAGGTTAGTATTTTTTGGAATATTTTTAAGACTGGCTTTTTTGGTGTAGTGGAAGTGTGTTTGATTTTAAGGTGGAAAGGTCGTGGGTTCGAACCCTACTCTGGAAAATTATTTTTAATTTGGCGGTAAAGGGTTTTTGAGCCTATAAAATTTCTCCAAATATTCGATTTTTTGGTGTAGTGGAAGTGTGTTTGATTTTAAGGTGGAAAGGTCGTGGGTTCGAACCCCAGTCGGGAAAATTATTTTTAATCGAAAGAGCAGAATTAGAAAAATTAATAAAAATTTCCAATTTAAGGGAATTGAACGTTACCCAAAATCTAAAGGTGTATCTCTCGCTTGGGATCAAGTACAACGCCAATTTTATTGCTGTGGTGTTAACAATGCCTCTGATTGGAGAGGAACACCTCCAGATTCTTGTTGCACACGCTTCCACAATGGTAATTTAAACCTTTTCATTTTCTTTTAAAAAACCCCCCTCCCCATTTTTAGGATGTGCCAAAATCGTTCAACCCCCACTCTATGAAATTGGATGTGTTGAAGCTGTTCAACGTTGGATAGTTGCTAACGCTATGATATTGGGGTGCATAAGTGCATTTTTGGCTGCACTACAAGTTATTGGAATATGCTTTGCTTGTTGTCTATCGAAAAGCATTTTGAAGGAATTTAATGATTTTTATTACTAAAATTGATTTTTTGGTGTAGTGCGAGTGTGTTTGGTTTTGGGGTGGAAAAGGTCGTGGGTTCGAACCCACTTGGGGAAATTAATTTTAAAATTGGGTAGAGAATATTTTTAAAAATACAGAAAATATTTTTTAAAATTCGGGAATTATTTTTAAATTCGGGAATTATTTTTAAAATACTTTTTTTGGTGTAGTGCAAGTGTGTTTGGTTTTGGGGTGGAAAAGGTCGTGGGTTCGAACCCACTTGGGGAAATTAATTTTAAAATTGGGTAGAGAATATTTTTAAAAATACAGAAAATATTTTTTAAAATTCGGGAATTATTTTTAAATTCGGGAATTATTTTTAAAATACTTTTTTTTTGGTGTAGTGCGAGTGTGTTTGGTTTTGGGGTGGAAAAGGTCGTGGGTTCGAACCCCGACGTGGGAAATTAATTTTAAAATTGGGTAGAGAATATTTTTAAAAATACAGAAAATATTTTTTAAAATTCGGGAATTATTTTTAAATTCGGGAATTATTTTTAAAATACTTTTTTTGGTGTAGTGCAAGTGTGTTTGGTTTTGGGGTGGAAAAGTCGTGGGTTCGAACCCCGCCGTTGAAAATCATTTTTAATTGGATGGGAGGGTGTTAAAAAAGGTCGGAAATTATTTTTTAAGCTTTTAGGAATTTTCTGAAATTTTTTTCAAATTTTTCTACCTCCAAAAAACCTTGAAAAACACCAAAAGTCAACGTTTGCTTAACACTTTTCCATTTTTAAATAAATTTATATCACTAATTAATTAAACAATATTTAGAAATAAAATTTAAAAAGTTCTAAAAATAAAATAACAAACTGAAATAATTGCTCCTCCTAAGCAGACAACAAAAGAATTGAATAATTTGCGTTCCCAAGGTTCCAACATGTAAAGTCCTGTGATTAAACTTGAAAAAAAATTTAATTTTAGAAAAAAAAATTAAAAAATAAATTTACCAATATTGAAGATACCAATAACCGAAAAAGTCATTTTTAACCAATCCAGTGTGTGGCTCTTCAAATTCCATCCATTTTTTGGTGTTTTTATTGGTATTTACTGAAGTCATTTAAATTAAATTTTAATAAATTAATTAATCTAAAGGCATAAAAATTATAGAAACGTGCTTAAAATTTAATTAAAAATATAGAAAAATTAAATAGACAAATCAATCTGATAAATTTGATAATAAAAATTTATTGTTTATCAAAATAATTCTGCTGCAAATTAAATCATGTTGACGATTTGTCTAATTTTGCCCATTGTGGTATTTTGTCTAATTGGTATTTTGTTTATTTGGTAATTTCAGCCAGCGGAAAGATAAAAGAGAGAAAAGAGTGTATTAAAACGAGAGAGACGCAAAGAAGAAGAGATTAGAGAGAAGTAATTTTGTTGACAATTTGTCTATTTTTGCCTTTTGTGGCATTTTGTCTGGTTGTTATTTTGTATATTTGATAATTCACGGAAAATAAAAGACAGAAAAGAGTGTATAAAACTGAGAGAGACACTAAAAAGAAAAGATAGAGAGAAATAATCTTTGTTGCCAATTTGTCTACTTTTGCCCTATGTGGCATTTTGTCCGGTTGTTATTTTGTAAATTTGGTATTCTCAGTAAGAGAAGTGACACAGAAAAATAAGAAAAAAGAGTGTATAAAAATGAGAGAGACAAAAATAAAAGAAAGAAAGAAAGAAATAATCTATTGTTTAAAAAACACTTTGGCGTTTTATTGTTCTCTTATTGACTTTTATTTTTCCTTTTTTTTGTATTTTTATCCGAGGGACCGTCTTATTTTTAATCTTTTGGACTTATTTTTAGATTTAATCTACTAACAAATTGGCTTCTAATCTAAATTTAGTGTATTGACATTAATGGCTTCTTTAATTTTATTTTTATTTCTTTATTTGGACTATGTTTCTGCCTTTGCTTCAAATACGGTTGTAGAGAGTGAGGAATATCAGGTTTTTTTTATTTTTTTTTGTTTAAATTCCCCTTTAAGTTTACCAATGTTAATCCAAAATGTGAGAGGATCAGAATTAAAATGTGTGCGGATATTCAATACAATATGACAATTTATCCAAATTTGTTGAAACATACAAAACAGGAGGAGGCAGAAAGTGATATTGAACAGTTAAGGAAGTTTTTAATTTATTTAAAGAATTTGTTTGGTATTTGTGGTGTAGTTGGTAGTGTTTTGGGTTGGATCTAGGAGGTGATAGGAGAGGCTAGGATTTGGTTTGGTTTCAGGAGGGCCCGGGTCGGTTTTTGATCGAAAAATCGGTGTTTTATTCAGTGTTCTTGGTTTGGTAGTTTTTTTGGTATCTGTGGTTTAGTTGGAAATGTTTCTGTTTGTTTCCTTATTTCGTGGGAGATGACCAAGGTTCGAGTCCTTGACCAAGTAGATGACCCAGTTTCGAGTCCACTCATTGGTTTTTGGTTTTTTTCTGATTCTCCAAGCTTTTTCCTTGTTAAAAAATTTTTTATTTCCAAATTTAACCTTTTAAACAATTTTTTAAAATTTATTAAATACACATTTTTCCTTTTATAAAGGTATGAAATGCTTGTCAATGTTCAATGCAGCCCCGATATTAAATTCTTTTTGTGCACAATTTTTACTCCAGTTTGTACAATTTTGAATGAACCAATCCCTCCATGTAGACATTTATGTTATTCTGCAAAAAATGGTTGTGAAACTATAATGAGGAAATTTGGTTATCCGTGGCCAGAGATTTTTGATTGTGAAAAATTGCCTCATCATAAAGATGCAATGTGTGTAGGGGAAAATAATAATGATGAATTGGAAGAGGATAAAAACAAGAATTTGGATATTTCTCAAATAAATGAACTAAAGGAGGTGAAGAAGGTGTTGGAATGTCCTCATGCTATGAAAGTTTTGGGTTCTCATAGGTTTGTTTTTATAAGTTTTGAGTTTTTCGGGTCTTAAGGTCTCTAATTTTCCTTTTAAAAATTTTAAAAATGAGATGGGAAAAATAAGAAAAGTTTAAAAATTTCATTCGAGGCGGATTTCTTTCTTGATTTCCTTTTTCAAACTTTCAATGTTTCTTGTAATATTAGATAAGCTTAAATCGAAACTCCAGTTTAAAAGTAGAAGGAAAAGACCAAACCTGTTTGGATTTTAAAAATACATAGATCGAGTTGAGTCAGCGTCAGAATTCTAAGGTAGGGTCGGTTCGGGACCCAACCGAAGAACCGATGATTTTTCGGTTCGGTTCCGGATATTCGAAGATTTTCCAAGAACCACAACCCCATTCTAAGGGTTGTGGTTTTTATTGGTTTCTGGCCCACAATCTATTCCTTGTTAAATCCAAAGTCTAAAGTTTTTTTGATTAAACAACTTTAAAAATTAAATTTTCTACAATTTAGCCATTTTCTCTTTATTGCCAACCAAACATTAGAACAATGTTCATTACCTTGCCATAATGATGGTTTAGTGCCCACTTTCTTCACTGCACATATTCGTCATTATCTAAAGCTTTGGACTGGCGCTTGGGCTGTTACTTGTTGTGTTTGTTGTTTATTTACAATTTTTACATTTTTGGTTGATTTGAAAAGGTTTCTTGAGATTTTTTTTTGAAAAAATTTTTCGACAAAATTTGAAAAATTTTTTAAAAATTTGAAAATTTTTTTAAATTAAAAAAAAAATTCAGATATGAATTTCCTGAACGAGCAATTCTTTTTATGGCATTTTCCTATTTTATGGTAAGCTCTGTTTATATGATTGGATTAGTTACTGGCGATCAACTTTCTTGTGCTACCCAATCTGCTACTAAACAACCTTTGGTTACTCAGGTTTTTTAATATTGAAAAAAATTTTTATTGAATGATCTTTTAAGGGAAATGAAAATTTTTGGTGTTCGGCATTGGCTTTGGCACATTTTTATTTTAGGTTATTTTTTATTTTAAATTTTCATTTCCCAATATTTGGGGGAGGGTGATCGTATTGGGAAAGTCAGGTATGAGATGATTTTTAGTCTAGTCTTATTGGGAGAGACCAATTAATTGGGATCAAATGTCATCCCATCCAAAACTTAGTATCAGTATTTTAGGAACCCTTTCTTTTAATCGATCATATCAGGCGGGTAAATGATTGGATTACTAAGTGTAAATATTGGGTGAATTGTCTTATTGAGGAGATCGATTAATTGTGATCAAATGTCATCCCATCTAACTAACAAAAAACCTTTTCATTCTCCATCATAATTAATTTAAAATTGAAATTTTTTAGCTTTGCCGGTTCTCTATGGTGGTTAATTTTATGTTTTTCTTGGTTTCTTGTAACAACATTAAAATGGGGAGAAGTTCCAGTTGGACAAGTCTTTTCTTCTTATTTTAATGCCTTTGCTTGGATTTTACCTTTATTTGGTGTTATTTTCCTAATTATATTTGGAGGAATTGATGGAGATGTATTTACTGGAATATGTTCTGTTGGAAATTTACAACCTTCATTTTTATTTAATTTTAGTGTTCTTCCACAAATTTTGTTGATAGGTTTGGGTTTTTAATTTTTTGGGGTTTTTTGGAAAATTTTTTTGTGAAAATTTTTTTGGAATTTTTTTTAATTTTCCGAATTTTTGTTCAATTTTTGGGGGATTTTTTGAGAAAAAAAAATTTTTGGGTTTCCGAATTTGCCTAGATTTTTTTTTGGTTTTTCTAAAAGATTTCAGACGTCAAAAATTTTTTTTATAATTTTTTTTTGGGTTTTTTTAAACTTTAAGTTTCCGAATTTTTGACTATTCTAATTTTTTTTTATAAATTTTTACTTAATTTTCAAGAAAAAAAAATTCTAAAAATTCTAATTAATTTAAAAAAAATAAATCTAGTTGCCGGCCTAATATTTTTCTCGTCTGGTTTTGTTTCAATTTTACGTATTCGTTCATATATTAAATGCAATAGGTTTGTAACAAATAAATTTGAAAATGCTGAGGCTTCTGAAAAACTTGGAAGAATAATGTTAAGAATTACTTGTTTTTCTCTTTTATATGTTTTGCCAATGTTTGTGAGTTGTTATTGTTCATATTATCAAACAATTAATATGGAGGCATGGTTGACTAATTGGTGAGAGAAATTGAGAAATGTTTTAATTTAATTCTGATTTTTTTATTAAAGGTATTCAACACGTTGTTTACATGGTAATTTTAATATGTTTTTATTTTGTTCTGGTTTTTGTGTGTTTATTCGTGTTTTTATTTAAAATTAAAAACAAATAAAAATCAGAATTTTATTTAAACATATAAAAATCAGAACTTTATTTGAACAAATAAAAACCAGAATTTTATTTAAACAAATAAAAATCAGAATATTATTCGAACAAATAAAAATCAGAATTTTAATGAAACAAATATGTAAATCAGAATTTTATTTGAACAAATAAAAATCAGAATTTTATTTGAACAAATAAAAATCAGAATTATCTGAACAAATAAAAATCAGAATTTTAATAAAACAAATAAGAATCAGAATTTTATTTGAACAAGTAAATATAGGTCAGAATGTTTGTGTTTTCTGCTACTTTGTTTTGTTTTTATAAATTAAACTTTAAATCAGAATTTTATAAAAACATCAAGTTTGAATTATTATTTTCTAAGTTAAAGATACTTCTGACACGAAATTAAATTCTGATTTTTATTTTTTTTATTTTTTCTGTGTGCTGAACAAACAATCAAAAAGCACCTAGAAAATTAAAATATCATTTATCAAATTATTTTTTTAGCACAAAGAGCCGTATTTGGATTTACTCAACAAAGAGATTATTGCCCAATTACGGATCAAATTGAATTAGAAAACCAACCTGGCCCTCTTCTCTTCTTCCTCAAATATTTGGCCAATTTTACTGTTGGAATAGCTTGTGCTGTTTGGACATTAAATGGGAAAACTGTTGTAATTTATGGAGAATTTATGTCGCGTCTATGTATGGGTAAGGAGAATAATAGAGGAAGGCCTACACGTTTGCCAACTCGAGTTCATTAAAAATTGAATTTTATTGCAATAAGAATGTTGAGGGTGGTGGTCTTTTTAAAGAGGTTTTTTTTTAATTTTTTCTGGTTCCTGTTTTTCTCTGGTTTTTTTGGGAATTTATGGTTTGCCAACTTAATGTTTTGCCAACTCCATATCCCCTCATTCCGTAAAAAAAGAAAAAAAAATTTCTCCGTCCCCGTCCACCACCTTGGCGTCGCCTTTTTGAGAAGTTATCCCCGTAGGCTTTCCCCTTGTCGGGGATCAACCCTAGTTTTGTTAAAATTCTGATTTTTAATATATTTATTGGGACTACCGCGACTACCCTCGATACTTTCTCTTTAAAAATAATTAGCGCCTATATTTTTTGTATTTTTTAACTCAATAATTCGTTGCCATATATTTTTTTATTTTAAAAACTACTTACTCTTTATTTGATATTCTTGCTTTCAATTTTTCTAAAAAAAAATTTTTTTTGCTTTTATCTTGCTTTTTAACTATTTTTTCTTGATATTTGTACAAAAATCTTTCGCTTAATTTTAATTTTTTTTCCTCAATACCAGGGATGTGTCGGACAACGAATCACATTCAGAGACATTCAGGGACATTTTCTTTTTAAAAAATAAATTTTTTATCTGATCGCCGAAACCCGGCCTTTCATTCCGACAATGAACCTCGATCCGCGAATTTTTTTTCATTCTGACCTATCCCTGGTTTTATAACTTAAATGAACAGGGTTTTAAATGTTCTTTCTCTATATTTTAGTCTCAAATTCAGGGACATTTTTTTTCTCTTTTTTAAAAAAATAAATTTTTGATTGTATTAATTTATTTTATTATTTTATTAGGAAATTTTTTTAAATCCTTAAAAAAAATTTTTTACAAATTTTTAAATAATTAATTTATTTTTGATTTAATTTTAAATTGATGTCGAGCGGAAAAAGACGTAATCCTTTAAATCTAAGCCTTCCTCCAACTGTAAATGAAGAAGGGTTGGCTAATGATGTTTCTGCTACAGAAGAAAATGAAGGAGGAAGAGGAGAAGGTGGTGGAGGGGGAGGACAAGGACAACAAACAACAGCTAAAGGAACGGGTACTCCACCTACAACAATGATGTTGGATTCTCAATTAAAACAATTAAGCTTGTCTGGAGCACAAATTGAAAGGATGAATGAATGGATTAATTTGAAAAAACAGGTTTTTAATTTGTTAAAAAAATTTTCTGGTTAAGGGGTTATCCTGTCGGTTTTTTTGTAAGTTTGTCAGATTTTTAAGTATGTAAGGTAAGGGGAGACAACACTCACTAAACGGGAATTTAAGACTTAAAAAGAAGGTGAAAGCAGCTTCCCGGTAGTTCACCGATAGACTGGGGGCTATTGGGTACTAAGAGCTTATAGCAATAACTGCTAGCAGGTTACAGAATCGATGCTTGCTCGTGGGTAGACTTTTTATACCTCTCTCATAAAACTGTTATTGTTTATTTTTTCATCCTTTCATAATTGTATAAATCTCATTTTTAAATTAAATAAATTCTAAAACAAATTTACCTCAAAAAAATTATTTTTAAAGATTGGAGAATTAAGTGATGATGTTCTCGAACGTATTTGTGATTTGGGACATGGCAATGGAGGTGTTGTTCATAAAATGCGTCATTCAAAAACTGGTGTAGTTTTGGCTAGAAAATTGGTTCATTTGGAAGTTAAACCTTCTGTTCGTAATCAAATACTTAAAGAATTGGAAGTTTTACACAAATGTAATAGTCCGTATATTGTTGGTTAGTTTTCTTATTTTTATTTTTAAATTGGAAGCCTCACCTATTTTTCTTAACTCTTTTGGAGAGGAAAAGGAGTATAGGCTTTGTTTGAGAATAAAGTCGAATTGAGGTTTTGGTCGGATTTTCTAAGATTGTCTGATACTCTAAATTTTGGGCAGGGGATCGTGTGAGGTTTCTTTACCAGGTAACTTGGAATTAGTGTCGGGGAATTTACCCGAAGCCTGTTAGCAGGTCTTTTGACACGAACCCCGATACGAAGAAAATTTTGAAAACTCAAACTGAAACCCGTTACCCAAACTTTTTCAAACTTGCCTATCCCTGATACATTAACAAACACAAGATTATCCCTATTTTCTCTTTCTAATTAATTTTTAAAATTTAATTCTTCTAAAAAATTTCTCAATCCAAAAATTTTCTCATCAGGTTTTTATGGTGCTTTTACAACAAATAACGATATTTCAATATGTATGGAATTTATGGATGGACTTTCACTTGATATTGTTTTACAGACTGTTGGTCGAATAAATGAAAAATTGGTTGGACGTATTGCAATTGCTGTAATTGATGGACTTACTTATCTTAAAGAGCAGTTTAATATACTTCATAGAGGTTTAAAATTTTTTAAAATTTTTTTTTGAAATTTTTGGTAAAATTTTTGGGGCCGTAGGATGTTTTTATAGAATTTTTTTTTAATTTTTTACATAAAAATTTTTTTTTAAATTTTTTTGGGGTCGAAGGAAATTTTTTTGAAAATTTTTTTTAATTTTTGGGATCTTAGAAATTTCCGTAAAGTAAAAATTTCTAACAAACAAAAAACTTAATTATTCAATTTTAAAAATAATATGGCTAGGTAAATTTAAGGAATATAGGCTAACTTGGGGGATGTCGGTTGTTGGAAAATCTTGGATATGTATTCGGTGTTGAACGAAGGAAAAAATTTTTTTGAGAAAGAAATTTTAGGAAGAACCAAACTGAAAAAATTTTTCTTTTTTACCTTCCGAACCGACAACCCTACAAATAACAAATAGAATATTTTTAGAAAAAAAATGCCTGATTAAGACAACAAGTTAAGAAAATAATTTTTTGAGGGGTAAATTACAAGAATAATTTTTTAGGGATTTTCTTAAGGGGGAGATATTTACACACAATTACTAATCATTTTTAATAAATTAATCTTCATCTTCTTTTATCTTCTTTTATAATACATTCACATTATTTTCAATTTTATTTTCTTCTTCTTTTTTCTCTTCTTGTTTTCCTCCTTCCTTATCTTCAAGTTTTTCTTCAACTTTTACTTCTTCAACTTTTACTTCTTCAACAATTGATGGCGATTTTTCTCCTTCTTTATTTTCTCCCTCTTTGTTCTCTCCCTCTTTGTTTTCCTCCTTAACTTCTTCTGCTGGCTTCTTTTTTGGTTTTACTTTATATATTGTTTCAATTTCAACCGAATCTTCCTCTTCTTCATAATAATCCATTGAAACATATATTATAGCAATTATAATAGCCAAAAGGATCAGAACACCAACAACAGCCCCAATAATTATCCAAACTTTTGTGGTGAAGAATTTTGTTTTTGGAGGATAAGTTGTTTTACTTGGTGGTTTTGGTCTTGGAATAATTTTTGTGCGTTTTGTTGGAAAAGTTAGAGTATACCAAGGACGTGGTGGAACAGTACGAGGAGGCAATGTTGGAGGAGTTGGAAATGGTGGAAGAGTCCATTCAGGTTCTTCAGTTTCTATAGCTTCGGTAGTTTCTTCTTCTGTTGTGAACATTGTAGTAGTCTCGTCTTCTTCTGTTGTAAGAGTTGTTTCGTTTGAAGATGTAAAAGTGCCATTTGTTGAATTCAAAAGTCCCATCTGTTGAATCCATGTATTATTTGTGGATGTCAAGTTTTTTGAAATTTCTTCTATTGGTTTCTTTGTTTTTCCGGTAGATTTTGTATTGGTTTTGGATGGAGTTGTAGCCGTTTTGATGATTGGTTTGGAGTTTGTAGTTTTAACAGTGGTTGATTTGGTGGGTTTTGAAGTTGGCTTTTTAGTGGTTGTTGGGGTTGTAGGTTTTTTGGTTGTGGTTGTTGTGGTGGGAGTTGTGGTTGTTGTGGTGGGAGTTGTGGTTGTTGTACTTGTGGTCGAACTTGTTGTACTTGTGGTAGAGGTGGTTGAAGTTGTACTTGTTGTGGAAGAGGTTGAAGTTGGTGTCGTAGTTGTGGTGGTTGGTTCAGAGAGAGTCAACAAAGTATAGTTATTTTTTGACTAAATTTTTGAAAAAAATTTTTTTTTAAATTAACAAAAATTCCCTTACAAATATTATACTGAGTTGATCACATTCTGGCCCATCTGGCGATTTTTCCAAAACTTTTGGATTGTTTGTATAATTCAAATCCAGCATTCTTGTTGCTTTTTGAGGAAGAAGATGGAACACTAACAAAAACTTGTATTTATCATTTGGACTAGTTCCATTGATTTCCCATGTTTTTGGGGAGATGATGCTTTCCGTAGAGTTGTGTAAGCATGTAAAATTGTTCTCCAAAAAATTTTCTTCTACAAAAAATTCTCCAAAAACTCCTTCACCAGAAGAAAACTTGACCGAATATCTATCCGTATTTTGATGGATCTTCACTATTGGGTAGTCTTTTTGTGTCTGAATTGATGACATGTTTGTACCGGTTAAGTGATAAGAAAGGCTGCCAACTGAAAATTTTTTAAAAAAAATTAAAAAATTTTTTTTGAAATTTTTTCAAGGGATTTCTACTTGGATTAACAGACAGCTCAATTCCATCATCCACAGCTTTCCATCTAACTTCAAGACTAGTCATTTCGATACATTTGCTTATTAAACATCCTTTATAGCACCTCTTGTCAGAATCGTTAAGAATTGGACCTTGTTGAATTTTTTTGATTTGGGCGCTTGAAAGGCTGTAGGCAAAAGGTAAACTGAAAAAGAAAATTTTGGTTTGGATTTGAGAAAAATTTTTTTTCACGTGTTATTGTTAAAGTCTTGAGTCAAACACTTGGAATAACTCGAAGAATGATTCAATCCTGTAGCAAATTCAATCGCATTTTCTATATTTGTTAAAAGATCCAATGTACAGCCAAGGTTTGCTGAAGAACTATTTTTGGAGTAGAAAAGCTTTCTGAAAAATAAAAAAAAATTTTTTTTGATAAAAAAAATTCAAAAATTTACATATTTCCATCATTATCCAACTCAACATCACATGCTTCAAGAAAGCGTTCCTTGTATTTTTCCATGTCCTCTTTTGTTTTTGCAATTTTTGATCCTTCAACAAGTGTTACAATTCCTTCTGTTAAACTGTGCTTTGCTAAGCCGACAATTTCGTTTTTTGCTTCTTCGGTGTTGATTTGTCCAAGTAGATGAACAACAAAAACAACAACAAGGAGGAGAGCTTTGAAAGAGGTGAACGACGACATTTTCTACTTTTTTCCTAAAGAAAAAAGTGTTTCACTAATAATTTGTTGAAGTTGAAGTGACTGTTGATGTTGGGAGGGTTTTTCGATGATATTTGTGGTGGAGAATGACTAATGTTTTGTTGCTTTTATAGTATTGTTAATGTGAGCAGTTTTGTAAACTTTAAAACTTATTTGTTATTTGCAAATCAGAATTTAATTAAAACTTGTTTGTCTATTCAGTCAATAATGTTTTTGAAAAAATCAGAACTTAATTAAAACACATTTATTAAAGTTTGTTTTATACTTATGGAAAAATTTAAAACCAGAATTTATAAGACTTAAAATTAAACTATTAAACCCAGAACATAAATGTTCTTATTTTTAATACTAATCAGAATTTTATTAAACATACAAAAACACCTTTAAGTTAACAATATTGAACATCAGAATTTTTGTAAAACATGTAATTCTAAAAATAAAAAAAAACCAGAATTTCATCTGAACATTTAAAAACTCGGTATTGCACGCCAGAATTTTTTAAATAAATTAACGTATCAGAATTTTATCTGAACATTTAAAAACATCTAATTTAATATTTTATTTTTATTAAGATGTAAAACCATCAAACATGTTAGTTAATAGTAGAGGTGAAATTAAACTTTGCGATTTTGGTGTTTCTTGCATGCTTATCGTAAAATTATTTTTACTAGATTAAGAAAATATTTTTTAAATTTATAGGATAGTATGGCTAATTCTTTTGTTGGCACACGTTCATATATGGCGGTGAATTTTTTTTCATTGAAAAAAAATTTTTTCAAAAAAAAATTTTTTTCAAAAAAAATTTTTTTATAGCCAGAACGTTTAACCGGCGCTCGTTATAGTATCCACTCAGATGTTTGGAGCTTTGGATTATCTTTAGTTGAACTAGTTATTGGACGTTACCCTATCCCTTCTCCAAGTAGACGTGAATATGCAAAAATATTTGGTATTAGAGTTGAAGAAGTTGTGTTAGATTTACAACAAAATGGACAAGAAGAAACTTCATCGAGTATAGATGACACTTCGCCTAAAACAATGGCTATTTTTGAATTGCTTGATTATATAGTAAATCGAGTAGGTGTTAATTTTGAATAATCAAATTAAAAAAACCAGAATTTTGGGTTTACAACTAAACCAGAATTTTTTTATGAACATTGAAAAAATCGAAAATAAAAACCAGAATTTTTTTAAAATAATATCAGAATTCCTTTTAAACATTCAATAAGCGTATCAGAATTTTATCTGAACATTTAAATAAATCACCAGATTAACAATATTAGAGACCAGAATTTTTGTAAAACATGCAATTCTAAAAATAAAAAAACCAGAATTTTATCTAAACATAAGCTTCTTTTTTTTCTTTACAGCCTCCCCCAGTTCTCCCTCGTCGTATTTTCTCTGATCACTTTGTTGATTTTGTTAATAAATGTTTAAAGAAAAAAGTTACAGAACGTCCAAATCTTGCTGGTTTAGCTGAAGAACCTTTTTACAAAGAACATTCTGCAATGGATGATAGTGCTGAATTTGCGAAATGGGTACAATCTGTTATTGATTTGTATGTTTTTTTCTGATTTTTTTAAATTCTGATTAATTTTCAGAAGGAATAGAAACTTCCCTACTGGTTAATTAAAAGCGAAACTCTTCTAAATTTCTGATTTTTTATTCTTCAAAAATATAGTCAAAAAAAAAAGAATTATTATAAGAATGAAAGGAAAATGATATTTTTCCTATCATTTTTGTGTGTATTATTTTTCAGCTATCTTTTTTCTCATTTTTTACAATTTGACTCTCGTCTGTATTCTCATCTTTCCAATCATCTGAAAGTATAATAAAACATTTTAGTTTTAAAACATGTTTTTAAAAGTAAATAAAACAATGTTTTTATAAAATTCTGATTTTATATTATGATTTTAGCTAAGTTTTGTTTGTATTCTGGTTTTTAAGTTTTATTAATATTCTGATTTTAAGCTCTCTTAAAAACATCTTCCAGAATTGTAAAACAAGTTTTAGAGAGTTTGTTTTAATTAAGTTCTGATTTTATATTCTGATTTTAATTAAGTTTTATTTTTCTGATTTAAATTCCTTAAAAACATTTCTCAAAATTGTAAAACAAGTTTTAATGAGCATTTTTGTTTTAATTAAGTTCTGATTTTACAATTCTGATTTTTTAAAACATTTTTGACTATAACAAACAAGTTTTAAATAAACTTTTACCGTCTAACAAAGTTGTATTTACATATTTCTTTAATTCTGGTTGTTCTTCATTTATTCTGTCTTTATAATACCACATTACACACAGAATAGTGAGGACAGCTATTATTGGTATAAAAAATTGTAGTCCTAAAATTAAAATAAAAAAAATTTTTCTAACAAATTTACCTTCTACTATTGAATAAACAACATCCATTTACATAAATATCCTTTAAAAAAGTAGCTAAAGGAAATAAAAAAAGCAGCCTTTTGTCACACTAACTTGAAGCTTTTTTGCTATGGATTGTTTAAAAAATATATAGGGAAAGGGATAAAATAGATAAAATAAAAAAAGGGCCTAAAAGTGTGTAGGAGACTTAAAATAATTTTAGGGGAAATATAAAAGTTTAAAAAATTAAAAAAAAAATAAAAAATATTTTCAATTATTTTATTTCGAACAATGAATACAGCTTTAATTGTATTATGTATAAAATCAGAATTCAGAATTATAAATCAGAATTCAATTAAGTTGACAATTAGGGAAACATCATAAACTTTAAATCAGAATTAAAAATAAACAAGTTTAATTAAGTTTTATTTATGTTCTGATTTTGGATTTTTGTAAAAACATCTTTCAGAATTGTAAAACATGTTTTAATCAACATTTTTGTTTTAATTAAATTCTGATTTATAATTCTGATTTTTTTAAACATTTTAACTTACAAATAAGTTTTTAAATTCAGAACTTGAATCAGAATTTTAAATGAACAAAAACTTAAGTTAACTAACTTAAGTTTACAATTATAATAATGCTTCCCCCAAGTTGTCAATTTAAAATTATTATAAACTACAAAACATATTAATAGAAAATATTTTCTTTTAATCACTTTGGTAACTCGGCTTGGGCAGCGCTTTTAAAAGATGACCGAATTAATCGAGAATTTGCTGGCTGAAGAGGACGATTATTAAGTAGAGGTTGTTCTACCTCGTCTTCCTGTCGACTTTTGCGTAATTCACGAAGTTTTTCTAGTTGATTTGAAGATATTGATATTGCAGAACGGCAAATTAACCATTGAACCTTTTAAAAAAATCAGAAAAATTAATAAAGTTCTGATTTAAATTAACTGTCTCTCGAAAAGGTTCAACAGCTTCAGACCCCTCATAGAACCAGAATTCTTTGCTCTTCTCCAAGGGAACAAGCTGGGAAGCTTTAAAACCCTCAGAGAGTGAACATTCTGTGCCTGCATATTTTATATGAGAAAGAACGTTAATTAATGGATTTAGTGTTGGATTGTCGTCGTGAGTTTCCTGTAAAGTAAAAAAAATCAGAAAAAATCAGAATTTAAAAAATAAAATAGGAAATCAGAATTTTAATGTCAAACTTGAAAAATCAGAATTTTAGAAATCAGAATTTTCTCAAAACATTTCTATTAAAAACCAGAATTTAAAACAAACATTTAAGAAAACAGCAATAAACAAAGTTCCTTGTTCCTCTGGATGTTTTAATGCCTCAGTCATGTTTGGGAACTTTATGTTTCTATGAACAATATGTATTTCTCCAGCATATCCAACACCGGCAATTGTGTGCTATTTAATTTTAATGTTTTTTTCTGACTTTTAGAGACTATTAATTTACCAAACTTCCATTCATTGGTTCTGTCCCCCAATGAAAAAGAATTTGTTCTAATTGGAATTGTTGTCCTTCTAAAAAGGAGCATTCAAAGGAAGAATTTCCTTCTTTCTGTTGTTCAACTCCATTTATTTCTGTTGTATTATTTAAATTATTAGGCCAACGAACACTTAATCCTCCATATTGACCCAAATTTTCGACTGTTAATTTTACAGAATTATCGTAGTTAAGCTTAAACGTAGCATTTTCTAAACTGGGATCAAATGCTGTAATGGCAGGTAATAAGTCGATGGGTGATTGTTTTGGGCTAACATTTGCCTGAAAATGTTTGTTTGATTTTTTTAAATGTTTGTTTAAAATTTTGAAATGTTTGTTTAAAATTCTGAATTTTAATATGTTCATTTAAAATTCTGAAATAAAACATGTTTATTTAAAGTTCTGAAATTTAGAATGTTTATTTCGAATTCTGAAAATATATTTGTTTATTAATAATTCTGAAATTGTTTGTTCTTTTAAAATTCTGAAATTAAACTTGTTTGTTTAAAGTTCTGATTTTAAGGTTGTTTATTTAAAATATTGGTAATTCAGGTTTATTAAAAAATAAACTTGTTCATTTAAAATTCTGATATGTAAATTATACAAAATAAACTTGAAATAAAACAAATTTATTTTTAAATTCTGATTTTTTAATTCTGATTTAACTTGCCTGTAATATTTTAGTTAATGTGTCTAACTGTGCTGTGCATTTATTAAATACGGGCAATAAATTTTGTTTAGCTTTATTCGTTGCTTGATTTGCTTGTTCTAAAACAGCTGAAACTTGTGGCATTGATTTTGTTTTAATTTCTTGTAGCTTTGTTTGTATTTGGTTTAAAAATGCCATTTTTCTGTTGTTGATGGGAAATTTAATTTTTTAAAAAAATTCTCTTAAAAATGGAATGAAGAAGCCGACTTAATTAACATAAGTAAAATGAGAGGATTTTAAAAGGAGAAGGAAATTTTTTTTTAATTTATGGGTATTAGAATATATTTTATTTGTATTGACTAGAAGCAATAAATAAATAGTCAATGTTTTTAATTAAATTCTGATATTTTAAGAATTAAATTCTGGTTTTAACAAACAAGTTTAAATAATAATTATAAGTTTGTTCATTTGAAATTCTGATTCCAAGTTTATTTAAATATTCTGGTTTTAACATTACAATTAACTTTGTTTGTGGAAAATTCTGGTATTTCAAGATTATTTCTGGTTTTAACAAAAATTCTGGTTTTAACAAAAATTCTGGTTTTAATTAAATTCTGATTCTAACAAACATGTTTATTTTACAATTAAGTTTATTTATTTGAAAATTCTGGTTTCAAGTTTAATTAAAAATTCTGGTTTTTAAATTCTGATTACAACAAGAATAAGTTTATTTTAAAAATTAAACTTGTTCATTTAAAATTCTGATTTGTAAATTAAATAAACTTGAATTAAAACACTTGTTCAAATTAAATTCTGATTTTGTAAAAACATTGTTTTTAAAATACACTATTAGTTAAATTTGTTTTCTCGGCTGCCATTTAACAAGGAATTTTTTTCCTTATTTTTTTTCAGGGAAAGGACAACAATAAAAGGCAAATGTAATAGTTTTATGTAAAATATTGGGTATATGTGAATAAGCAAAAAAAGGAAAAAAATAAATATTGGGCACAAAAAAGGGTAAAAAAATTCTTTGGCGCCTAATTGAGATGTCGTTGTGTCTTCTCTCGGCTGCCACTTTATTTACACTATAACGCTTAAGGGAATGAGGAAAAAAATAGAAAAAAGTACGATTGCATGACGTTGTAGCTTGTGTCCTTGCCAACGCCTACCACCCTGAGGACAATTGGAAAATCCAGAATATCAACAAACAAAATAAAAAATTCTGATTTCCAAGTTTATTTTTAAATAAATTCTGATTTTCATTTTTCAGAATTTCTGATTTCAAAATTCTGATTTCTTTTATTTTTCAGAATTTCTGATTTTTTTATTTTCAGAATTTCTGATTTTCATTTTTCAGAATTTTTGATTTTTCAGAATTCTGATTTTATTTTTAAAAATTCTGATTTTTATTTTTCAGAATTTCTGATTTTTAAATTCTAATCAGAAAGAGAGGGAGATAGAGAGTAGAAAATAAAAACCAGAATTTTAAAAATAAACTTAAAACCAGAATTAACGCATTTTTAATATTCTTTGGCATTCTATTTATTTTTTACATTTTATCCAAAAACGAGAGATAATGCAAAATAAGAGATTTTAGTGTTATTAAACATTTTGTCTCTTCCTTATTTTACCAATAACACATTTTGCCAATAACACATTTTGCCAATAACACATTTTGCCAATAAGGCTAAAACCCCGCATTTTGTCACACTAGGCTTGTTGACAAAATGTCCTGTTTTAGCCTTATTGGCAGAATGTGTTATTGGCAAAATATTGTGAGGGAATATTTTTATTGTTTGTTTCTATTTTTTTTAATTTTTTTTTATTTTTTAAAATTTATTTTTAATTTTTTTTTATTTTTAACAAAGGATGAGAGATCCAGAAACTTCATTTATTCAATCTAGAAAATCATTAGAACGTAAAATATTCAAAGTTCGAAGAAATGTCTTTCCACCAATTTTAACCAATCGTGCTCCTCAAAATTCAACCAACAACAAAAGATCTTCAAAGAATTCAATAAAAGATTCGAAAAAAGTGCGCTTTCATGTATCAGAGCCTTCTTCTTCATACTCACAATCTTCTGGCGATAGTTGGTTTTTTTTTAATTTTTTTTTGGGGGGG